TAATCAATGAGAACGCACCGGACCGGAAAAAATTAAAGGTCTTTCAGACAATGATCAAAACGGATCCACCCATCATTATTTCTTGAAAACAGAAAAAAAAAGGAAAGAGCTTTAGGCAGAGAATGTAAAATTTTAAATGCAACTTGATTGCTCTGGTTATCAAGACACAATTTTAATCAATTGTTGACTGGAGATTTTGCCAAAGAAATCCAAAATCTCTATTCAGAAGTGCATCAGTGACAGCAAATCAGCTACTGTGATTTTATGTATCAGTTACTTGAAAATGCTGGTATGTTCTCTATATATGTCTCAGTTCTTATATAGATGTGTTCTCTCATGCATACATGATCTCTCATACACTACTACTTAGCAACAACACCACAAATAAATTTAATGGTGGGGAAAAACCTTTCAAGTTGTTGTCTGAATGTCACATTTTCAGTCTAACTCCTTCAGCGGTCCATTTAAGAATCCATTTTAGCTACTCTGCCAGGTCAGCTTATCCATAAGAATCATACATTTCCCCATAGGTAGAAAACAAATATAATTTGTCACACGTTGTGCTATACAGCCATTTCTGCACAGTTGCCGCAGTACATGAGAATGTCTGAAGGGGAAGACACTCCAGGTAGTTGGCTGCAGACACATCTCGGCAACATGGCACGTAGCTACGATTTGACACATATAGTCTTTATAAATCCAATGTCTATGAAGTCAAACAAATCTCCTTCTTATTTATAGTAACAGGCAAGAGCAGATCTCTGCCGTCTTGTTACACAGATGGCTGGAACATTTTTATAGTTAACTTACAACCACTGATGCCTGAGGAATAGACACACATCTGCCCCAAACTGCCAGTCCTGTGGGCTCTGCTTTTTAACTGCAGCCACCGAAAATACAGCCATAATACAGGCAACACCATCACCCCCAAAAAGCTACAACAGCAAAAAGCCCCACACAAATCTGCATAAAATGTATTCTTATTGTTATTGTTACACAGATTGGATAGTGATCATACACATTATAGCAAAAATAACAGCAGTACCAACTCCAATCACCAAAACTGAAGTTCTGGAGAAAATTCATAGCCCCAGATCCCATTTACTGGACTTAGTCTGGAAAAACACTTGGGAAAAAACTCATTAGAAGCTTCTAAATTTTTGTTGTATTAAAAAGATTTCAAAAGAGCCTCATACTTCATACAAACTACTGTCCATATGCTCTTTTGTGCTGCTTGATAAAAAGTAAAGGCATGGCTGGCTCATCTTGAAAAAAGGAAAACAATTGCCTAGGATTTTCTTCTCCAGCTTGAAGACGCTACTCCGTATGTGCTGTATTTCCACACATCATCTGGGCCTTTAATAGGAAATGTACATGGAATAGAGCTAACTATATTAAATTAAATGCTTCCCATTTTAGACACTGGCTGTCCACAGGAGAAATTCTCTAAATAGATGACTTGCAATCAAAATGCTTGCTTTACCAGAAGAAGAATAGATGCAGAAAAGCAAAGCTGTAATTGAACCTTGTATCTACAGGAGTTGTTAACAAAGTCCAGTGAAAGCTTAAAATAGCCTAGATGAAATCCTGACCCATAGCAGCTTGGGCAAATATTACTTGTTCATAAACATAACAGATCTAGACAGATTCTTGTCTTTTTCTGCTTGCTCCCCAAACTGGGAGAGATTAGAGCTTGCAAGAAAGTGGATCTGCACTTACAGAACTGGTCTAAGCCACATGCCTTGGAATTTAGTTTGAAGGCAGATAAAGGAAAGAATGAAACAACATTATACATAGCAATTTGATTTCAGATTTTCCTTCCACTGGAATCTATTTCTTTTTTGTGGAGTGAAGCACAGAAGGAAAATGGAAAGGCAGTTTAACCTTTTATTTTTGTTACATATTATTTCTATTCTTGGCTAGTTTTCTGTCTTTATAGCTGCCTCACAAGAAATTCTGTACTTTCTGCTACCTACTCATTTTCATTATTAACACTTATCTATAGAATGGGAATTTGAAGAATTTCATCATAAAATTTGCTTTGAGTTTGAAAATTTTTATCAATGTGCTCTTTGCCACCTAACAGATGAGAATTTATTTCTCCAAGATTCAGATACATAGTCACACACTGACCAGCTCACTCCCATGGTATATCAGTGACCCTATGTCACTTTGGAGAGAATCTGCTTAGCTAAACAAATCATTGTCTAAAATTAAAGTACGTAGCTGCAAAAAACATCAAAATAAGAACAAATAATGTAAAAAAAAATAATAATACATTTATCCAAAGCAAAGGTGCTAGATTAACAACATTAAATGAACACCTATCTAGAAACTCCATTGCAGTCTTAACTTGTCACCCTGGTCCCGCAAGCTGTACAAATTTCAATTGAAATTCACCCCAATAGAGTCTGTCAACTGCATCATTTAGATGGACATCTACTTCTTCTAAAGTTGTATTTCACTGAGCAAAACCACACTGAAAGGTCAGACATTTGCATTACATTGAAAAGGTTGATTGAAAATAATCTTTAATGATTGCAATTTAATCTCTTTCTTTAACACCTGCTTATATAATTTTGGACTACACTCATTTGCAGCACATACTCAGACAGAAAGATAGGAATGGCAGAGAAAGAGTTATCTTGTTCATTTTCTGGAATGCAGCTATCACAGTTGCCACAACAGTGTTGCTCCAAAAGAAACTCCAATTGATCAATGAGATCTTGCTCCTTCCACAAAACAACTGTACTGGGGCCTGTCATACTTTCCTAGGAGAACACAAGCAGTGACCGAGATTTCTTCTTAGACAAATACCACCATTCCTTATTATTCAAATGCAAGTGTTAGGTGTCAATTCAAGTCAAAAATAATTTTGATACAAGAAACTTTCTAAAAAGTCCCAGAATAACAACAGTGAGAAAAATAGGTAGGAACCCGCTTTGCAGGGATGTGTTGCAAAAAGACCAGTGCTATTTGTAGCTGCGTACAAAGGGGAAACATATTGTGTTAAGAAGTAATAATCTTTAGCATTTTTTTGCTGTGATTATTAGTATCCAAGTGATGGATGAAAATCTGAAGCAAAACACATTATTATTATTATTATTTGTTCTTCTGCCTTCACTAAATAGCATAGTCAGATCTCTATCTTCAAAATCAGAAGAGAAATATCACTATTTTTATTTGGTAGAAGTCCTTCAACATAAATATAAGGAACTGGGAGATTTATTTTTTGTAGTAATATTTTCTGCTTTTCTTCACCTAGATCTGAATACTTCATAGCCAATATATAGCATTTGGGAACGGATACTGAATATCTAACTCCAGTTTTCACATGGAAACTAAAATTAGATTACATTGAATTTTTAAAGCACTTTATTATATCAGCCTTACCACTTATTCCCTGAATTTAAAATTAATATAGTGCAAGATCATAACTAAAGATATTTTATAAGAGTCCTCTCTTAAAATGCTGGTAAAGTATACTATTTATGATTCAAATACCTGATAATCTCTGCCATATTTACATATTCTAAAATATTAAATAAGACAAATACTCTCACTGTCCTGTTTTCTCTCCTTGTTGTCAGCAAAACAGCAGCAGAAGGTAAGGCAGTGCCTGCAGTGTGACTACTCTGCTCTCAAGCCACTTTTCTGTTCTGGATTAATGCTTTCCATCTTTTCTAGTGTATAATCTTTGCTGCTGCAGCAGAGAATGAGCAACATTTTCCAGTCTGTCTGGACTGGACTATTTAGTAGTCTTAAATTCAACTAGATACTAATAATTCTACAGAAGAACAGATAGGAGAAGGAGGGGGAAAAAAAAAAATATCCCCCCCCATCCCCCCGCAAGTAACCCTAAGTGCTCAAGTGCACGTCCTCCATATGCTAAGCATCCATCACTAGTAAAGAAACCAAAAGTGAGGCGAGATAAATGGAAAGATTATGTGATCACATAGATAAGGGACACAGTTGTAGTATTTAGAATTTCCTTATTCTCTGAGCTATAAAAGATGACAGTCCTGGGTTACAGAAGAACAGGGTGAGGTACAGACAGAAATCTGTACAGGAAGAGGAAAGGAGGGCATCTGGACAACTGAAAAGAGTGCACGAAGAGCTTGCAAGAAACATGCTGGTATGGACAGAGAGAATGAAGAGATGGCAGAAAAAAATAATTTAATAATGGAATAAAAATGAGCATAGAAGACCGGCTGCCTCAGTACATGCCAGATCTGTTCCTATCAGGTGGTCAGTGGTCAAAAGAAGCAAACAGATTTTTTCCCAGCCAGGACTACCTAGTCCAAAAGAAGTTAAACTGCATTTTGCCTTTCACTGCTGACCAGAGGCAGCGTGGCTGACGGGGTGTGCAGAGTTGCCTCTCAGCCATCTCCCAGCTTTATCCTCCAGTCCCCCAACCACAGCTAAGCTCTTTCCAGTGCCTGTTACACTGAATGTAGGGTGGTAAACAGAACAAGAATAAGAGAGCATAGCTGGACTTTCTGATACCAAAAAGTGTCCACAGTGATCTTTAAGGACATCTAATCTGAATCACAGCACAAGGTGTTATGAGACTGCTAAACCCCAAAAATACACCTATTACATGGCACAACGGAATCCACATCTGTACACTACATTCATATTACTGAATAACCTCCTCTCTCTTTCCTTCTCCCTCCCCCCCCTTTTTTTTTTTAATATGGTAAGACAATTCATCCAAGTTAGAGCAGAGAACAGCCGAAGCAGCCCACACACATATGTACTAGGCTTCAATTCTTTGGAAGACTATGTTGTTCAAGCTTTCCCTTTATTTATCCAAAATGGCACAAGCAAAAGATGTTATAAAAAAACCTCAACAGAATGCTTGGGGAGGGGGAAGGGCTGGTCATTCTCGTAAGGAAAGAACAATACTTTCCAACAACCTAGTGTCATTTCTAAGTTTACACAACACAACAGGTAGAGCAGAGCATACCACATACTGACAGATTAACTGGACCTCCTACCTGGACTTCATACTCTCATGCATTATCCCATGCTGGAGGCATTGTCGGTTCAATTCATCATTTTGTTTCTGCATCTTCTCCAATCTGCCATGAAGATACACTTTTTCCTGACTAAGCTGGTTGACTTCAGATCTACAGAAGTAAAAGACAGTGATGATGGATGTTGTCAGATTTCATCCTGCAGCGTGCCATCAATATGTGGCTTCAGCATTTATAAAATTTCATACATGTATATGCAATGCATAAACGGGCTATTACTAGAACTTACAGAAACAAAACACTGTTTCAAATAGTCTTAAGACAAAAGAACATGATGCTGAAGGGTGTCTGGTAAAAATACCAACGGAAATCACTCAGCCATAGGTTGGCTTTGCTAATTTCAGCGCGGTTCAAACAGGCATGTCATTTGGCATTATGTGTTGATGTTAAATAAGACCAATAAATGTAAATTCATACTTCTCAGACAAGAATTTGGCCAGCATTTTGAAAACATATTTCAAGTTCTTTACTAGGAAAAGCTAACACCTAGTTTAAAAAACAGCTACTACAGACTTGTTCAACCTTTATTGCACAGGTTGAACTCTCACTAGTGCTGCTGTTTCAGAAACTTTATCAATGTAATATGCCAAAAATACCATTACATAGATTAACCAAAAAAAAAATCCCTAAACACCACATTAAGAGGAAAATGAATAAAACCTAGAAAAAGAAATAAGGGACAAATCATACAGACACACCCTAATCTACATAAAACTCAGCACAGCCTTTAAGAAAATTAGTCACTTATAGCAATTCTTATTCTTCACGGGTGAGCAGAGACGCCAGATCCATGAATGACCTGGGACTGCTACTTGCTACATGTCTAACCATCAGCCCATGGAGAAACAGGCATGAGCTGTTTCTTAATATCAGGAAAAGATCTCAGATTAAATTGTGATAAAATATACATTATGCACTTGTACAGTTTAACTCTTTGGAAAAGGTTAATGAGAACATGTCAGGATCTGCTGTACTATCAGAAAGTAAGACTCAAAAGCAAGCAAATTTGTTTTATGGCATCTGCCACTCCAGATCTTGAGGTTAAAAAGCTTCAGAGATATCTTTAAATCATAAACTTAAATATGCTGCAGTTACAGCGGAAAGATACTTTACCTTCCTGGCTGTTACAGAATGCAACAACAACTGCCATGCTGAAAAATAAAACAAAGTGCAGGGGGGGAGGAATACCTCTCCCTCAAAAACATGTTGTTACACTGACAAGTCAAATCTGGAAATGACAACATAATCTTTCCATGTTTAAATAGAGAACAATACACGATATCATCTGTGAATCAAAAAGAACTTAGCAGTGGAAACTTTGGAAGAAGACTGTATGTAATTGAATTTAGATAGGGAGTTACAGCCCTATTAAGGAATAGCACTGACAAATACATCCAGATCTGTAGTGTACATGTATTTGTACATTAAACTTAAATGCATAAGTGTTTCCTGGATGGGGATGTAACAGTGGGCAGGATGTTCTAGGAAGGTAATTTTTACACTGAACATTTAACAGAAATATTAGAAACTTAAATGGTGGCATTAACAAAGCCCTGGGCCAGTTGTTCTCACCAGGGTGAGTACAGTCTGTACTTGAGACCGACACTGGAAGAAAGAAATGGCGGATAAAAGCAAAGGTCCACTGTGGAGCGGCTCAACAGCGATCTGACACAGCAATGCCCAACCAAGTGGTAACAGGGACTAAACTCAAGATTGCATTCCTTTTTTGCCAGAAAAATGCAAGAGCATTTGCCATGTGGAAATACTGTAAATTATCATATTTGTAGGGTTTCCCAACTGAGGAATCCTGATTCTTTTTCCGCATTTGTATGTGGCTGTCTCATTCACAGAAACAACAGAAGCAACTTTTAAGGTGATAAAAATCTCAATGTTTTCAAAGGATTTATTCATCTCCAGCACATTTGAAGGTACTCAGAGTCATTCAGGAAAGATTAAGGGATTCAGATCAATGAAAATGCTACTGATAACTACAATTAATAAAACAGAAGAAAGTAATAAATTCATTGGAAACACGAGTTGCATGATCTCTAATCTCTCAAATGTAGCTCTAAATGCCTGATGCTTTGAAGCATGTTATTTGTGTTCTCTTCTCCTAAAACATCTTTTGTAATTACAGTTGAACTCAGAAAAAAACCAAACATTGTTTACACAATGTTCCTTCCAAGTAAATATCTAAGAGTCTGACCACCCAGATTCATGTACTTTATTGCACTGAAATGTGGAGGACAGCACATATGAAGGGCAGAATGCCCAGTAAGGTCAAAGCTAAAAGGTTCACGCGTGTTGGCATTAAAGAGAGAACAACAGTTCCAATACAAGACTGAACAACAAGAGGCTTCATTATCACCTGACAACGATTCCTTCTGCACTTTTAACTATACCACTCATTCACCTCAGTTTCCAAAGATTAAGATAGAAAAGCCAATTTCACGTGATATTTAAATGACTTCAGAATTCATTGGTTAAAAAAAACAAATCAAACCACAAAATCAACCATAATTGTAATAAACCTGAACAACAGCACATTTATATTAGGAGTAGCAATTCCACCCAGCTGGGGCAGGACCAGGAATACATAAATGCTGCCGAACCCCTCTGCTCCCAAGCTGTCACAGCAGGGATGGGAGTGAGAGGGGTGCCAGTACCAAAGTACTCAGTTCTGAACTTCAGAGACAGCTCACATGTAAGGCCAAGGAACAGAGACAAGTTAGAAAAATCTATGCACTTTGCACTACGTCTGATGGACCCAGAACAACTAAAGGACACAGCACAGACATGCTGATGTGGCTCCACAAGAGCTGCTCTGGCTCCAAGAGAAGGAGCAGTAAGCCGAGGCGGACTCAGAAGAGACTGAAGCGTGCAGACATTTGGAAGTGCTGCCACCTGAGCAGAGCTTTGCGTGGAGTTGCACTTCTGCAGCCTCAGGTCATACAGCTGTGTTAATGTACCTGTACATGCTTCTGAGGCCTGACAGACTCCAAGGACCTGTATGAAATCACCGTTATTGCCAAACTGCATGGAGCAAAGCTACATCACATGAAAATGTAAAATGCATGCTTGTAAGAAGATGGGAAATAGATTTTGCCATCTCATGTGCTTGTCACTATATTAAAAACAATTGACAATGACTGGGGGGAGGTCGGGTCAACAACAAAAAAACCCTCTAACTTCTGGATCCATTCAACTACCAAGAAAGCCCCAATTTCTATTTAAAGACAATTTTAAGATTTTATCTCTCATCCTTGCTGGAAAAGTCTTGGAAAAAACCCCAACAAGTTCCCCCAAAACATTCAAATACTGGAGGCAAAGAAACAGCACATATTAAATAGCCACAATTCGAAGTCAGTCTTAGGATATTTTTAGGATGAGCTGATTTTTGAACACCAAAGTTGCAATGCTGCCTTTACTCCTCTGAACTACCTTTTGCATTGCAGTGCTTTTTAAGCGCTGCCTTTTCCTACTCTTAAAACCCATTGTTTACTTGTACAGCAATTAAACACAGGCTCTAAAATATTTTCTGCTGACACAATATCATTGCATATAATTTTAATGCCTGATCCTTGAGACAGCCTGTTTCCCAGCTTTGTACAGCTACTTTCAACAAACATTTCACTCTTGGTATTGAGTGCAATGACTGCAGTCAACCAAACGTGCAGAAAAATAGTTCAGCCGGGTGTGTGTTCTTTACTTCAATTAAACTCACACAGTTGGATGCCTACTATTGCCAAACCAGTAATATAATTTATACATTATAGTCCAAACAGTAAAACTACACTAAAAGTCATTTAACAATATTTATAACACCATAAAATACAGTGTTAAAATATATGAACTGCAATATGTACCAAAATTATAAAATTTGTTTCTCATCATCAGTGATTAAAACCAGGATCATTGCTCTAGCTTCAATACTCACAACCCTGGTGACAGATTAGAATTCAAATCTTAATGATCAATTTACAATTAACAAGATAGAAGTGAAACAAATTAAACCAACCATTATATATAAGGAGACCCAATGGACACCTATTGTTCCCCTTAATTACAAAACACAAATCACAAATACACAGTGGGTACTGTTAAGCATTAATCTACAACCTAGAAACTCAGACAGTGACAATCAGAGGGAAAAAAAAAAGAAGAAAATATCAGGGAAGAAATCAACAAAGGACTATATTTTTAAACATGCCTATGCATACAAAACCTCCACAGACATCTTCTTGCACAGCTTGAGGGTTTTATAATTTGTCTGACATTGTCTTTCTGAAGCTCTTCTAATCCTGTGTAGGGGCTAGCTCACAAAAATGGTTCCAGCTTACATAGAAACAAGATAACTTCAGTTTAGATTTCTCAGATAACCAGTATTAAACATAAAAATATATGTAAAATTCAGAGGCATCTCCACTGAAATTGTGCACATACGTAGTTGTCACAGATAAATTTGGAATGCCTCTTACTACAAACGGGCCCTTTATTTCCTATCAAATCCTCAAAATTTCATATAAGCTTACCCTTGATTCTATTATTAAAAATGTTTGAATATTTTACTAAGTAAATAATGATGCTGCTAGTATACAGTTAACCCCATGGAAACTAAGGAACAGAGATTCCAGAAGTATAGCAAGAAAGTACACAGCCAGGTCCAAAATTCAATTTATGGTAAGGCCAAAGAAATATTTTCCATGCAAATAGGGCACACTGCTGCTTCATGACCTGCTTTTATTAGGGCACATCACAACTGAATTATAAAATCTTCCAAAAATGACTACTTGTTTTTTTCAGAAGACAAAGCTACAGCGTTCTGTTCCAGAACTGTGGTTTTAGACCAGACTGACTGACTACGAGTCAGAAAGTAGATGATGAGAGATGCTGCTGAAAGATACACACAGATCATGCATTCAAAACTCTGCCGCAGTCATGTTCTGCATCCCATCTCCTGGTCACATCACTTTTTAAAGCCATCCATTCATTGACCACTTCCCACCATCTCCAGTTCACCTTTTGCTTCTCACTTTCACATCCTTTCTTTGTCCCTACTGACTTCTCCATTCCCATTATTGCCTGCAGCAGCTCCCACTCTGCTCAAGCTATTTTAGAGCCACTTCCCACAACTGCTTTCACGCATTCTTCTACACTGTTTCTTGTGGAAATTATACCACTTTCTGGAGATCTAAAAGGCTCCTTTTCCCTTTTTCAGGTTCTTGACATAGTCCTCTAATGCTGCTAGGTGGAGAAACACTTGGCAATCTCTAGTATTTATTTTCAGAGAATAATGTGTTTTCACAGTATGTTTTCTGTCTTTCCTTCATCCTTTTACAGTTATGAGTCTGTGACTGTGAGCTCTAGCAACAAAGTCTGTGTGCATTTTTATTGCTAGAATAATAATATGATTTGAATCTATTTAGATTTTGTATTACTTTAGCAGAGGAGCTCTGCTTTTTTAGAAGAAAAATTCTGTTTGCTTCTCTCTCAAGCACCCATCACAACATTTGCAGGAGAAGATCGCTTATATTTCCTCAAGTTTCTCATTTCTTCCCCAGACACTCTGGATGGGATCCATTTTCCAGCTCCAGCCACTTAACAACCAGTCAGCACTTTATATCCAGTGGAAAGTAGGAGGGGCAGGGGAGGCAGTACCTGTGGGAAGCATCGTATAATTTTTTTTTTATATGTTTCTATCATCTACTTATATCATTGCCCTTTGACCATTCCTGGAAACAGGATACTGGGATAAACGAGCTCTCTCCCTGAGTGAGTGTTGCCTTTGTTATGTTACCTCAACAGTATGATTAAATCCACCCAGTCAAAGAAGAATCCTGTCTTGAAAACCAATTTTATCTTTGCTGAATGTTTTCTTTACTTCACATAAGCCATGCAAGATGAATCCTACCCTTAATTACCAATTTCACTTTGTATGAAATGTACAGAAGTTGCAGAATCCCAACTCACCACTTAAACCCTCTTTTCTTCTCTAACCCTGCAGAAAGTTTCAACAGGGACTATTTTCACACTTAAAAATGGAAAATCAAATTATTTACTGGTATAGAACTACAAGTATTTTTTTTTCTCCCAAAGATAGTCATGTCCTTTAGAACTTTAAAATAGATACTTCTTGCTTTTGTATTTATTTAAACCAGTTATTGCTTCCAGGTTTAGTTCTATTCCTGAATTTTTAATGGCTTTGGATGTAGACCTGCTAGTGATTTTAACAAGAGCACCACTTAACAAGCAGCAGCAGAATCAGAGCTTCAATGACAAGCAATTTTGATGACAATTATTTCAGAGATAATTATTCAGTGTGTAGCATTGTGAATGGAGCTTTAAGTAATTAATCAAACCAACAAGACTACAGTTTTGAGAACTTTAAATATTTAGTATTTTAAAATAGTTGCAGACAAACTTGAATTGTAGCTCTGTTAGCAATTTTCCACTCTTCGTATTAAGAATATGAACATCGGAAAGAAAATACAGTATGCAATTTTTACATTGGAATTGTCTAAGAAAATTGAAGTAATAGCCAGAAACGTAATTTGAAAAGTGGAAAATTACAATTACTCTGGATAAAAATCCATCCATGTTTATTAAATGGCATATATTACATTGAGATGATGTGGAATACCTGGGACAAGATAAATAATAATAAATATTAAAATACAAATAAAAAATAAGGAAGCATGTCCTAACAATAACAGGAATAGGATAAGAAAAAATATACTAACCTGTATTTTTCTGACATTTGTTCCAACTTCCTTGCCAACATACAACATTCTTCCTTTAATTTTGCTATGAATGTATTCTGGGAGGTCAGTAGAGAATCCAGTTCATTTACTAGAAATTATAAAATTATAAAACTAGAAATTAATTTAACAAAGATAGAAATTTATAGACAATTTACAGACAGTTTTATATATTCTTAATTTCTTTCCTCTAGATACTCCTAGTTTTGGTATGATTTTTAAACTTCAGCTCCTTGGACATGGAATTATGACATCATCTTTCACCAAATAAGGGCTTTACGTCAGAATAAGTTAACGTAAGGTGTTGAAGTGATGTTGCCACTGAATCAGGTCTTGTATGAGAAGAATAACGATAAAGACTACATCTCAAAACTGGCAGTTTCATTTTTTAGCTGGAAGTTCATTGACATTTCTGGGAGGAATAAAATGGGCACAGCGTGCCTTAGTAGCCTTTTGCTTGCTCAGCTGGTGCAGAGGATACACTGGCAACCCAAACACTCACACTATAGACTCATTTTATTCTCTCCTTAAAAAACCTGTTCTTTTATTTACTGGGTCCATGCACTTACTATTATTCATGTATTTTTTTCTCTTTAATGATAAGATATAGACTTACTATCCAGTGACAGTTGCAGTAAAACTATTTTATAAATTGTTAGTTACTATTGCTTTGGGCTGCACTGAGATTCGTGACCTAGAAATAAAGCATTTTTATTCTTTTAAAAGGAAGACACTGCAAAATTATGTTTCTCTATTTCTGCTTTTAAAATCAAAGGGAGACTGACCATTGTTATCCAGATTCCTTCTATGTGTGTAGGGTCATAATACTCAAGGGTTTCTTTATGTAAATAATAAATTACTATCATCTTCATGTCCTCCTAATCTCACTAGAGATACATAAAAACAAACTCAGCCTTAATGTTGTTTCATTTTTGTATACTGGGACAATTTATGCACCAGAAGGGTAAATTACATCTCTCCTCTGTAGAATTACCCTTGGTCATATGCAGATGTGCTGGCTAAGGTAGTGAAAAACAATTCTGAGAGCTTCTTTTCCTACTGTGTAGACAGCAGCCATAACCTAGCTGTTTGCATTCCCTGAACACATGGAAGGGTCCTCTAGCACTGTGATAATGCTGCAAAAAAAGCAGGAAATCAGATGGCAGATGTAAATGTGCCTGCTACCTCAGGTATTATCTGACAGTCAGGATTAACACAGACTACATCATTTTTCTAAAGGTATTGCAGAACTGCTGGGCAAAAATGGAATTTTATTAAACATATGAATATGCCATGTTCCATAAGAACTGAAGCTCCTCCTTTCCGTGCTCAGGGCTTAGATATTTCCTCTTTTAAAAATTGCTTTTTTGTTGTTTATAACATGCACCTTTATTAATGTTGTTGGCATAGTACTTCACAATAACAAAAGGCTTTTTTCATTTGTTTGGAAAACCCATTTTACTTCCAGATTAAAGGTTAGAAGTTATTGATTAGATAAGTCAATGCAATGAAGTCTCCTATTATGAGAGCCTGAAGTATGCAAGGGATTAAACATCTTTCTTCTAGATTGAGGGTGTGTGGGGGTGCACACGGTAATGCTAAAAATGTTCGAGGCTGCAAAGATTAAATAAAGGAACATATCAATTTGGAGCCAGTGAATTACATCCAGCTGCGACAGTGAATTAAGAACCGATTAATGACTAAAGCTTTTCTCCAGTTTGGATGCCGAAGCAAACTCATTAAGCTTTTAGAGTAGCTATAATGTGTGTACTGTGGGAACTGTTCAATGCTATTCAGGAGACTTTAACTGTAAGCTCAGAGCATTTCCCGCAGAGCTTCTGATGCTATTTTCTTTATATAACATGTGTGCCTGAAAATCCAGCCAAAAACAAGCCCTTTGTTTTTCTACTTTGTTGTGGTCTCTCTCAGCTTTACGTTTCTTGAACACAGGTAAATAAACTCATAATCCAGATGGTGCAACAGATGTGAGAGCAGCACTCTGAAATCAACAGACAGTGGGCAATACTTTCCATTTTCTCTTTTAAACGCTAACTAATATGTAATTCGGAATCTCCGGTGTAGTTAGCATCTGCTCCCTTCGGCCAGCCAAAGGTTACAGGTGTTCCTGATGTCATTTCACAGTAAGGCGTGGGCCTGGCTTGTGAGTGAGTGCCCAGGCTCTAATCTTTCCCTTCCACCTACCAGTTTTCTCATGCTGGGCCTCCATTTGCTGCATCTTCTGTGTCAGCTCCTGCTCTCTTTGCTGGGCCTGAAGGGCTTGGGCCTTTGCTTCATTGCTAATGCTGTGCCGAATGCTCTCTTTCTCCAATCTATTAAAAGAAAAAAAAGGAAATAAAGAGAATACAGAAGATAAATTAAAAAGGCAAAGCAGAAGATTCAATTAATAACAACAATTAAAAAAATGTGGCCAAGCTTTTCACACCAAACATTTCCCTCCTGCTTCAGGTTATACAAACTGACCTTTCTCTTGCAATGTCAAATATTCTCCAGTGACTAGCAGAAAAAGGATAAAAAATATTTTCTATTTCCTGAGTGAAAATTAGCCTTTCAGACAAAAATATGATTTTATTTTTAAAAATTTTAAACACGATTTCTTTTTCATAAGGAAGTTTCTCACCATCCACTTTGCATTGAACAGATTATTTGCATTTTCTTTTAAATGCTATTTATTTAATGCTGCAATGAAGCTTAGGGACCTGACCCTGAGATGGACTGGTTCCCAGTGAACCAGCAGGAGATAAGTCAATGGGAGCGACTGCCACAGTGCTCATAATACAGCTACTCAGAAAGCTTAATGAGTTCTCTTAAGCAACCAAACAAGTTTTAACTATTAATTTATGTAAATAGGAGATGAATGCAGCCATTACAATAGAGAAGACTGTTAGTACCACACAAGCCCAGCCCCTCACGGTTCTGCTCACTGGGGAGTTGTACAGGAAGGTCTAAAGCCCAGTGCTATTATTGAAATATGCAGGCAAGAGAGCAATTTACTTGACCAGATATGCAAGATGGGGCAATCTGCTCCTGAGGCAAAACAAATGCTAGACTACCACACTCCATTGAAGCATTTTATTTAATGCAAGCCAAGCAAAAACAGCATGGAAAATAAAAACCCAAAAAGATACACACATATAAATTAGAAAAGGTCCTAAACTGCAAATTCATATCTAGACTTCCCCAAAGGTCATGAATATTTATCTGGTCCCCACTAGGATCCAGATCCAAAATTTCAGTGAGTTCACACATACAAGGATTGATTTCTAGGTTTCAAATTACATATAAACACCCACTTTTCTACTGAAGCTACATTTAATAGCTTGGGATAGGTTTCAATAAAGTCTTACAAACGTGTTGTTTTATTCTAGGGATAATACCTATTTCAGGGGACTACAAAACAGAACGCAGGCATAGATCATGTAAGGATAAAGCCACATCTCATGTGGCTGCTGCACTTAACCTTTGGATTGGTGCCTAATAACCCATCCGAGATATTGCAATATCTCAGCATGACACACACAATGTTAAATCTTCTCTCTTAAATTTCCCCCAAAGCAATACAAATGGTGGGTCACATTACACTAATTCCTGGTCCTGATGTTGCAAGCTGTACCTTAGGCAAAACTCCATTTGAAATCACAGACAGTTTTTTCTGAAGTAACACTGAGAATGATTTGACACAGAGAATACATTTAGATAGCAAGAATATTATAGCATTGAGGAAACAAAGCACATTTTTCAAGGAAATTTCATACATTAAACTGCACTTTATCACATCATTTCAGAAATACTTTGTAACCATATCGGGGCTATCCTAAAGGAGTGATGCTTGCATTATTTCCTAAGTGTAAGCTCCAAATATGGCAAGCATTGCTATGAAAAAACTTTCAATATTTGCTGGAAACCAGTTTATTTAAACCCCTTCTCAGCCTCCAAATGTCTTTTTACCTTTAGACACTAGCACCTAACACATCCCCCAGAGACTTTCAGCTAAAGAAACCAGCAGAAGCCCAGTATTTTGTTTAATAGTGTCTCATGCGAGACGGCTGCGTGCAGTTGGGTGCTGTGCTGTCATCTGGCGCACAGCTGGCTGGCTCACTTTCGGCTGGGGGTAGCCTTCAGCACATATCAAGCTATACCGCTCAAGCTACCAAGGCAAGCCTATAAAGGTCCACTCCTCACTGCTAGGATCCCTCCTGTCAAACACATGTGAACAGGCAAGTTCAAAATAAATGGAGAATCTACTGCCACCAGACACAGGCTCGTGCTAAAGGGACACATCCTAAAAAGCCGCTCACCTGTGCCACTTACTGTGCAGAGCAAACTAGCAGGAGATCAGAAACCCCAGATGCATGGTGAGTTCCCTATGGCTGAAGTGTATATGGGGTTGGTGAAAATTAATGACTTTATACAGTGAATAAAAGCTCAACTAAAAGACTAGGAAAATACAGGGAAGTCTTACTCAGAAGGGTAGCTGACTAATCTCAATCTTAGCACCTAGAAAACTTTGGAATTGAGACACATCCAGTGCCACGTAAAGAGCAATATCCGAGGTGCCCAGAGCTGCAGAGGAACAAAAAGATTTCCTGGAGCCAAAGCTGTCTAAACTGAGTGGCAAGTCTTTCACCCACACCTTGAGTTGACACCTTCCCTGTACTCTAAGTTCAATCTCTCTGACCTCCTACAGAAAATTTCCTCAACAGATTCTACGTATACAGAGAAAAAAAACCAACAAAACAGAACCAAAAAAACCCCTATGGATAAAACATGCAGAAGGCAGCCCAAGAGATTTCAGGAATGATCGGTAACATTGCTGCTACAATCAGCAAATACTGCAGGAGTTTTAGAAGGTTTGACAGGGGCTGTTTATTTGCAATTACGCTGAGCTGTGAAAGAAGGGGAGCTTGCTTTAAGAAAAAGAAAACCAGTACACTGTAGACAGAAGGAAACAGTTATATCCAGACATCTCCAGCGCTACTGCGAAGATACCAGAACTTTCCTCTTGCAAAAACTTCAGATTTTCTCATATTGACTACATGAAAGCACAATGACAATGTAAAACAAAGCAATAACAGCCTAATTTTGATGACACAGTCAAGATCTGAATCAGAAATGACAGCTAAACATTAACTGAACCAGAACTTTTTAAAGCATTATCTATAGGTATCAAAAAAGGGGACCGAGCAATTAAACTGCAGCAGCCTGTTCCCTACTAGAGTGCAAACACTGAATCAAAACTGGAAACAGTAGCGAAAATTATAGTTCTTTCACATAGTATCCACTGTAAAACACTAAATAAAATGGATAAAATTCACTTTGACCTCAAAGCAAACATAGAAGTATGCTGGACAAATTTGAGCCACCAAATTTACTGAAAAATAAAAAACTTTTCCCACAACTAACAAACAAAAAATGGATCACACATCCATTTTCAATAGAAGACTCTCTTTCAAATGGCTTCGCAGTAAAGAAAAAGGAAGGATGTAAAGGCTAGTGCTGTGAAAGTCGTATTTGACATAAATAACAGCTCATCGATTTTTGACTATAAAAGAAGAAAAGAACTTAGATTGATAAAACTTAGAATTTCACAATGCAGTTCAATAGCAGGTACTTCTCCAAGAGCCTTTTTGATTTGGCAACAGTAAAAATACAAAATGAAAAACTACAAGATGAGTCTCAATGTCAAATTAGGCCTCTGACTGGGGCTTGCCAATAAGTCTTGACAAAGCAACTATGATATGAAGCAACCATGCTTCCTAGATTGACTGTTTGATTTTCCCATGAGATCAAAATGTGGCATTTTTAAAAAATGCTAACGGATCCATTAGCAAGAACTATGAAATTAATTGGACCAATTAAAATACTCTAGCAAGTATCTCAGTTCAGTGGCACACAAGATATTATCATAACCTTATTTTTGACATCTTCACTTCTTATTAACTACAGTTAAAAATGTAATTATAAAATATGCTAGGCTTTCACACATACTTACTTTAAACTGGACTTAGCTTGCATGTAGTGTTCCAAATGTTTGAGGTATCTGAACTAACAAGACTGTTGGTATAAATAATGCCCAGTCCTCGAGCTCAGCACCAACACTCAGGCAGTGAGAGGACCAGTCGAGCCTAACCTTCACTCCACTCCTCAGCGGCTAAGCACAGATCTCTTCCCAAATAACAGGTAGCCACGTGGGCCAGCGCTGTGACCTACTGCGCAACAAATCCCAACAGAAGAGGGAAAGCACTCAGCTGAGGGCTCCTGCAGCTCTTTCAGAGGAAATGGGCTTCCTCTCCCAGTATTTTTGAAAATAAATGTGTAGCACAAGCTTCCATATATAAAATGGAAAAACAGTTTTGAGAAGGTACCTAAGCACTTGATTCTCAGCACCTTTAATAAAATTTGGCCTGCGGGCACTCAAATCAACTAGACAACTTTTGAAAATACGACTTGAAAGCCAATGCGTATTAGGAACTCTAAAGATTTTAGCCAATAGTTTCAAGTACAAAGGCCCAGCAATGTTTTACGCAGTCTACTTTGCAAGCTTTCCATGATACATGTCTAGTGGACTGTCCATTACAAGCAGCTTTCTGAACTATCTTCTCACTGGTTATTTAATATTATTATTTCAGCTGCAGGTATCAAGAGAAGAATGGAAATTCAGAAATCCTTTACTCTTTCAGGCTACAGGGGAAAACAAAACAAAACGCTAACCACACAGCAGCACTCATGGTAAAGAAAATGAGTAAAACCTGAAACAGGAGGTTACAATACCTGCTCTATTCTGTAAGGGGGAACAGGAGAAAAATGTCAGCAGTCTATTACTTTACTATCAGAAAGCATTCAAATACTGCAATGATAAAGGTCATAACAGAATGTATACAGAAAAATATCATAAGTTTGGTCAGAACACTTGACAAATTCCTTCCCTCTGTCCTCCACATGTACCTTCACAAGTGTGTCATACACAGGAGGATAAGGGGTTCTTTTTCAGGTCAGCAGATAAGCCTAAAGATTGGACTGCAAATATGAAAAAAAAAAATTACCAAGAAGTTATTCTTCTCAGTAATGGTCTTAAATTATTTTCTCTATTAATGTAAAACTCCTAGCACTGCTTTCAGACCTGCATCTCAATTTAACAGCACTGCAGTATCCTATCCAGCTATTTATAATGGGGAATGTGCCTACAGTGTTGTACATTACACTATCTGAAATCTTAGTCTTTTCAAACATTTAGGTAAGGGACTACAACACAGCAAGACCCCAAATTTTGCAGGGAAATAAGTAAATGCTGGTTTTAAGTGTAGCTATGATT